TTTTTTTTTTTTTACTTTTTGGAAAAAATTTCAGGGGCAAAATTGTCCAAAGGGTGGCGGTAAGTAGTAAAAAGGGAGACGATGTTTAGTAACACCCTAATTTTATGTAAAATAAGTGTTTCATATAAATAATGATTGTTAGATGAAAGTTTGTTGGATGAAAGTTCGAGAGCTTTAATAAGAAAAAAAAATATATGGAATTACGAGCTTTAACCATAATAGTTTGTGTTTTGTATTATCTAAAAAAATATAAAAATTGTCCATCCATTTATGAAAGATTCATAGTTGAAGCTCAAAAATATGAAAAATCTTGTGGAATGATGCATGTGGAATTGTGGATAGTCAGACGTTAAATATATTGCTTCCAAAGTTGTTCGATAAAAAGATACACGTATGATGGATTTTTTTTTAAGTGATGGAAATGTTTGGTTGTTGTTTTTTATGTGATGGAAAACTGATCTGTAAATTATGTTCAATAAGCAATAACATTATATGTTTTGCTAGTGTGTTTATTCTCCTCTTATTTTATAAATAGTTATATATAAAAAAATATAATGTATTTAAAGTTGCAACCACTAAAACATAAGTTCAACGTAGTAAATTTTGTATCTGTTGGATGACAACAAAAATAATCAAAAAATAATATTTCGTTATAATTTTAGTATATAAATTACAATATGAGCAACCGTTTTTTTTTTTTTTGTTAATGATATGATTGCTAGTACATACACATTAGGAACAAAATGATCCATTAAAAAATTTGTAGTTGATAAAATAAATTAGTAACGGACATTTTCATTTCTGATCGGTTGCTAATATAGACACATTAGAAACAAAATAACGATCTGATTGGTCTCCTCCCAAATCTGGAGTGAACCGGTGGTAATGAGCTCCGATCTGTTCGATCGGTCTCTAAATCGCCTTCAAACCACTGCAAACACATGCAAGAACTCAACACCGGAAGTGTTTCCGGTGAAGAGCCTTCGACGCTCAAGTCAGTATGAGAGTGATGAAGTGAGCTCTGCTCAGTAGGAGCAGCAGCTGAGGGAAAATGAATAGAGAGAGTAAAAGTTAGGGTTTGGGGTCACCTCAGTCCCTTTACATAGGAATAAAACACTTACTTGAAGTACACAAAATGCCCTGCCGACTTACGTGAAATGTCCGAAATGCCCTGGTCGGTTTTGCATTCCATCCACCTCCTAGTCAGCATCCAGATTCCTTCTTATCCCATGTAGATTCACCCTTGTTCAGAGGTTTTCTTGTGCTATGTCGAAGTGTATATGAGTCTTCGGAGGTCTTGGTGCCTCGAGGCAGGATAAGTCGACTTCGAGTATCGTCGATTCGACTTAGGTCACGTACAAGTGCTTGGAGACTACTCTCCGCCCGCTAGTCTTTTCGATGAAAGTCGACTTAAGGGAATCGTCTCAGAGCCGCTAGCGGGTTGAAGGCAATCCTTAGGTGGCTCATGGGAGGAGTCGACTCTCGGGGAGTCGACCTCAGGGACGTCGACTTGAGCAACTCGTCATGCAGATTCGATATTCGGTCGAGAAATTAATACTTGAACCGGTATTCCGTATTATGGGTATATCACGATCCATTACAAAAATTGTAGCTAATGAAATAATTTAGTAACAAATGTTTCTATTTCTGATCGATTTTTGGTAGTAAATATTAGAAACAGATATATCCATTACATATTTGGTTGCTACAACTCTACTATTAGAAACGATTTTGTTTGTTGCAAATAATAACGAACTGTTTTCCGTTTCAGAGTAGTAGCCACCTTGTTTTCACTAACCAATTATGAAACGAAATTTGTTTGTTTGTGATGTATATTAGTAACAGAAAAGTACCCTTCAGCAACAATAATCTCCGTTTCTGAATCTCTAATTTCTAGTAGTGAAAATTGGGTGCTCCCTAAACCACCACATAAGTTACATATAAACCTATTTACAACAAAATGTAAATGGAATGAGAAATGAAATTTTTGGGGGTATGATCATACATGCATACATAAAGATGTTTGAAATTGTTTTCACATTATTGAACAAGCATTTGCATTATCATCATTGAACATCATATGCATTTCGCCCTCTCCATAGTAATGAACCATCCAAGAATTCATCATGACTTGTTTGTGATTATCTTCTACTCTTTCATCTTCCTCTTTTTTAGCATTTGGGTCCTCCAAAAATAGTAGCTCGACCCTCTTTCCAGTTTTCCTTTTCAATTTCTTCAATACTTTGTGCGGATCAATTTTTCCAGTTACCACCACTTTGTTGTTCGTCATATCGGTTACAATCTTCTCCACGCCTATTTAAATTATTTCTATACAAACATCAACATAGTATTACATGCATAAAGCTCATTCAAATGACAAAATTTCATCTTTTTTGTTTACATATCACATATATATAACAAGTATATTACATTAGAATTTGGATGGTGAATGAAAATGGTAGATATTTATGAGAAATATTAAAGATTGATATGAAATGAAAAAAACCTTTGATTTTGGAAATGACTTTTGCAACACTCCTTTCACATGCATTGCAATGCATGGAAATTTTGTATCCTGCCACCACATCCTGTTGATGATCATAAACAAACGATTATGTATAATATTATTGTATGAACATGAAAAACATGTTAATCATTGATTTATTTTTCTTACTTTCTTTTCCTTGTCTTTTTTCTTCTTACCACCCATTGAAAATATGGAAAGGAAACAAACAGTGGTGGACAAAGGTCTAGAGGCTAATTGAAATAAATAACCCAAAATGGAAAAGAAATAAAGAAACAATATTACATCCAAAAATTCTATGGAGCCATAAGATGGTTTTCTTATGGAGTCATCTACCACTTAATATATTGGCACTGCCAAATTGTATTATTGCAGGACACATGCACTATTAGTGAATAAATGTGGATGACTCCATAAGTCGAGTCATCCGATGGCTCCATAACAAAATTGATATTAATTCAAGTATTTCTTATTAGATATGTAAGAAACATGGAGAAAACAAGTGCGGTCCCACGCAGACGAAGCGCACCATAAGCAGGGAAAACCCATATGAAGCCCAAGTGAGGCTCCATCCTAAACGAATTGGGTGGAATGAGGAGTAACTCATTAGTCTTATAAATCAGACCTATTTTCCCTATATAAACGATGTGAGACAACTCACAAGTGAATATTGTAATACGTCCCCCTCATTTGTGAGTCTTTAATAAGAAAGTCCAAGCCCATATACGGAGCTGGGTGCCCAAGCCCTACTAGAAACAGGTTCCCATAAACGGGTACGTGAGGAAAAACAAGTACGTCGTCGCACGGTCCCACATAGAAGTGGCTCTGATACCACAAGCCCTACTAGAAACAAGCTCCCATAAACGGGTACGTCATCGCACGGTCCCAATAGAACTGAAGCGCACCATAAGCAGGGAAAGCTCAGATGAAGCCCCAGTGATGTTCCATCCCAAAACCAATTAGTGAAAGGAGAAGTAGCCCATTAGTCTTATATATCAGGTCTATTTTCCTTATATAAACGATGTGGGACAACTCAAAAGTGAATATTCTAATAAGATAGTCAATGAAACATTTTATGAAAACTATAATTGATAGATTTTAATTTGTAGTTTGTACATATTGAATTATTCTAATGCCTTAAAATAGAATTGAGGGTTACATTTTTAATTTTTTATTTTTTGTCTAGGTTGGAGGAGGGATGTTATTTCAATAAAGTTGACAAACAAAGTAAATAAGTAGGGTTTTCAGCGCGTGGTACCTCTGTACATTTTTTTTTTTTTTTGTTGGAAAAGATCACATATTATCAAGAGAATTATTTTCCATGACTCCACAAATTAATTACCAAAATAAGGTTTCAATTCGTGATCATGTTAGAAAATTTCATTTTCAGAGACCTTGAACACCAAATCCAGTTTAGTGAACTTACGATGGGATAGATGGCCAAAGCTAATTTGTACTGGGTCAAATTTTAATTTTCTTCCCTCTAAGTTGACCACTTGATATACTAATTTGTCCATCATAAAAAGATTATGTTATAAAAAGATTAATTTTCTCACTTTTGCTACACTATTTTGGGTATTCCGGATTAATTGTTGATGTGGCGTAATAAAATTTTGAGGGTTGTCTATGTGGCATGTTGTGTGGCAAATATGTGGTAATTTTAGATCCTCTAACTTGACCATTTTTTATATTCAAATCCTTTGACGGACTGAAATTCAATTTTTATTATGTTAAGTTGCAATTTTTTAATTAGCCCATTCAGTAAAAGCATATATATATAAGTGCACTCAAATGAGAAATGTGCAGAGATAATATGAATCTGGACCATTGAATACGTCACATCAATGACCATGATCAAGTCAAACTTTAATAAATAATGGTCAATCATTAATGACAATGTGATACATGAGTATATACATTGTGGTCGAATGTACATATTTAACCACACAGTAAGGGTAAAACTTGTAATATCCCGATATTTTATCGGTATAAATTACGTTTTAATTCCGATATAATAATGTTATCGTTTATTATCGTCGGAATTAATTATTTTCAGTCAGGATTACCGAAATTCATTTTCGACGTACCGTTTACGTTCGGAATAATTTTGGTAATTTAGTATTATGTTTAATTAATAATTAAACATAAAGTTTAGTGGTTAATTGTTGAATTAATCACAATTAAGTGATTAAAACCGTGTCATTAGGGGAAATTCTCCCAAATTTCAAGTAAAAGCCGTAGCTTTCTTTAAGGGAGGGAAATCAAATTTTCCTCCTCAATTTCTAGAACACGTGGCAACAAAAAGGGGCTGATTAATCACCCTAAATCAGCTAAGGATGAAACAAATGGCCAAGGCTTAGAAGGCCACGTTTCATGTGCATCATCATCCCCCATCGGCTTTGGTATAAAAGGAGGTGCTTGGATGAGAAATTTTCCATTTTTTTTTCCTAAGGGGCGATCAGCACAATTCCTCTCTAATACTTCATCCACTCTACAGCAAATAAATTCAATTTATTTCCTTAAGCTTCTCGCATTAACGCACAGCAAAGTGAGGCCATACGCACGGCGCACGCTAAGACAAAGGAAGCACGCCTATTTTCCGATTTCCGTCGAGCGATCAGTGAGGTAAATTCCTCCTCAGTTCATAATCATGTTAGTAAGGTTATTTCAGAGTTAAGTGTTCGGTTTATATTCCAAAAATTTGAGTAAAGTCATGCCTAAGGTCGTATATGCTTAAGTAAGATTATAACCGAACAATTTCTGATTTTTCCCGACAACTCCCGAACTGTTAATGTTTAGTGATTCAGTTCAGCCTATTTAATATACAGTACGATCAGTTTTGTCGAGGCAAAATGAAGTATTGACGATGAAACGACCCCAACCGTCGCCAACGCCTATCGCGTGGCCTCGGGTGATCTCGGGCCGTGTCTTGTGCCTTCTGTAATCAGCATGTTCTATCAGTGTGATTATGTTTTAAATTGTCTTAAAATGATGTTCATTTCATGATTGTTCGGAGGTTGCCGTGGAGAAAGGTAGTTCGGCCGGGAGACGGCGTATAGCCGTCGGCGGCGCACGGCGCGCCCGCCACGGCCTTTCATGTTTAGTTTGCACCTGTTATGTTT